TATTTATGGCTCTATTCAGAGAAAATGGTATAGAAAAGATAACAAAGATAAAACTTTTAACTTTACAATATAGATTATAATCCACTATCATGTATATTGGTAAATTCCAAAACCTTACTTGCAACAAGAATTAGAATAATAAAGCTTTTATTTATCAATTTTGATATGGATTAAAAGATAATGTTAAAAACTTATTATTAACAATGTCAAGAATGGACTTATTAGAATAATTTATTGTAACAATCAATTTTTTGAAAGACACCAAATATAAAGATTTGGTTGAAAAAGAATAAGTCAAGTTACAACAACTCTTAAGTTTTTAAAAAATTATTCATCAAACTTTTACAAATTGATATAATGCTCTTTAAATCTCTTATTGAGCAAAAAAAAACAAAATCTTAATATTTTCTAAAAATATTGTGCCTATGTTGTGGAGAATCTAAGCATACTACTCAATATTTTTTTAAAAGAAGCAATACAATTACAAAATAAAGAATATAGTTGCCAAAGAAGACAATGTATTAGAAAACAAGTTTGTATGACTACAATAGAAATTATAGGTTCTACCAATAGATTTTAATTTTAATAATTTTTTTAGCATTACAAAGATATTATCATTTTTTAAAGTTTATTTTAAAAATATTTAGAAGATTTTAAGAATTATTAGAGAAATTTTGAAGACTTAAGTAAAATTAAATTTTACCACTTAGGAAGGTCATTATGAAGAGATAGAGCAAGATTTTAAAGCATGTAGTATTTTTAAATTAATAAATTTTTTTAAAATACCATGATAAATTTAAAAATATAATAATATTAATTTTATTTAGTAAAAAATATGGAGACTTGCAACTAGTATAGTCATTAGAAAAAAGAATGTACAAAAGTTTTGTATGGATTGTAGGACTTTAGATGTAAGTAAGAGGATAAGACTAAGGCCTTATGGCCTCTCAAGGACATCCATATAAACTACTTGTGAGTCTTAGTGAGGCTCAAATTTTTTTTATCTCTATAGCAAGTAATCTTTGAAATAAAAGTTATTTATTTAACTTTTTATTATTTATATTCTATCTTTAAATTTATAATAATTTATTTATAATATTTTTTAACTCATTAAAAAGATAAATGGTTGTTTTTCTAAAAATATTTTTCATATTTCTCTTTTATTTTTATTAGATAAAAAATCTAGTGAATAGATTGTGACTAGTTTTGAATTGTGTAATGGTTTGATTGTACTTATTTCAATTATTTTGTGTTATTTTTTATTATTATTAATTGCTTCTTCCACTTTATACTACTAATTATATTTAACTCTTAATGGAGACCATTTTGTAATTTGGAATGAAGGCTAAATTTTACCTTCATATAAATGATGCCTTTATTGGAAGGTAGTGCTTCTAATGGTGTATGTAATATGCAATTAATATGTTGTGATTGATCTTTTTTGGTCTTATTAAGTAATCATTAAAAGCTTTTCTTCATCATTGTGTAGTCCATTCTTTGTTAGTAAAAACAAGATATTTTATTTTTTAAATTCAAAAGACATTAAAAAAAACTATTGTTGAATGGATTGTTAATTTGTTCTTAGGTTTTTATCAATTAATTTTTAAGCATTTGATAGTTGAAGTTGAAGTTTTAATAGTGTATATATCTTATTATAAAATTTATAAGAAAGTAACATATGCTCAATTTGGAGCTATAATGAATTGTGGTAAATTTTTGAATATAAGAGAATTCACTTCTTTGGCAATTTCGTGTATTTTATTATTTTTTTAAAAATTCTTTGTGAATTTTATGTACTTGATAAAAAAAAATTATATGAAAAATTTAAAATTAAGCTTATATTGGTATAAGTTTTATTTTAATTAATTTGAAATTAAAATTTTGGCAATTTTTGGAGTTGAAAGATGTTGTTGCCTTAAGCAAAATACAATTGAGGTTTGTGAATTACATCTCATCCATAACTTATTTTTTTGTTGTTGTTGTTTTTGTTTTTATTTTTATTTTTTTTAAATCTATATTTTAAATTTAAACATTTGTGATATAAATTAGTCAATCTTGTTGACTACTGCTAATAAAGTCTTATTTGCTAAACTTGCTTTGCAACCTTTTTTTTTTTTTTTTTTTTTTTTTTTTTGTTGCAGAAATAAAACAAATGCTTCAAAAATGCTTGTAAAGTTATGATTAAAGTACATACCTTGGCTTCCAAAAATATTTCTACTTGAAATTCTACTTGTAAATCTATTTGAAGCTTTGATTGAAGCTCTGTTTACAATTCTACTTTTAATTCATGTTTTATCTTTTTTTTATAATTCAAAAAAATAAGAAAAAACGAAATATTGTTTATTCTAATTTTTTTATGTTGGATTCACCAAATAAGTTTTATTATGTAAATATTAGTCTAAAGATGTTTTAGACATCTCATTATAGAAGAATTTGATTTTTTTTTGAACTTTTATTTGCTATTCAAAAAATAAATAAAGCATAAGCTATTCAAAAATACCTTTTTGATAATATTAAATAATCTAAAAACATTATATTACATTCTATTCTATTTCAAATAAATAATAAATATTTTTAAAAAAAATTCTAATAAAATCTTTAAAATATTACAAAAAATCATAAAAAGAAATAAAAATAAACCTTATAAAAGTCTTAAATAAATTTTCTTTAAATTTTAATAAAAATCTAATAGATTTTTAATTAATTTATAATTAAATATTAATCAAGTTCTAACTGATTCTTCATTAAAGCCTAATTAAATTTTAAATAAATCCTAAAAAAATCCTAAAAAGTCTAATTAAATTTCCAATAAATTCTAAAAAATATAATTAAATCTTGAATGAGTTCTATATCAAATTTTAAATCTTAGTAATTATTATCTTGATTATTGATTTTATTTTAAAATTTTAATATATTTTAATTTATTAGTTGATAATAAGTACATAAATTTTAAAGAAAATCAAACTTATAAAATAATAAAATGGTTCTTAATCTACTATACATTTGAAATAACTACAATCACAAATCCATAAGATTTCAAATGTAGAGTAGCTATAGAAGTTACAAAATTCACCAAATATACAATCTCTAACTATTCAATATAAAATAGAGTCTTTCAAAATAATCCTAACTTTACAAAGTTCTTACAAAGTTATTATGCAATTAAATCTCTAAAAAGCAATATTCAATAAAATCTTATTAAGTTTGGTCTTATATCTTGTTTTTTAAACAATAAAAGAACTCCACATTTATTATTGGTGCATGGTTTTGTACCTCAAGGTTTGATTTCAACTTTGGTTCATAACTGATCATCTTTGGGTATCAATCTAAGATTTTTCTATGTAGGTTTTTCTAAAAGCTATTCATTACTTTCACCTAAAAATGCTTAGGATGTTATTTTAGTTGATTTATTTTATTTTTTCTTATTCATGGCTCTACATAGTGAGTAGAAATTATTTTTTATCAAAAGATTATATTAACACTAAATTATTTTACTCCCTTTTAACTTTTATTTATGTTTTTAAATTAATTTTCTACTATATTTTTAAATAAGCTACACTATAATATAATTATTTTCTTTCTCTTTTACATACTAGTTGTGTTGCAACATAACACTAAAGAGAAATAGATAAAATTATTATAAGTTAGAAAATTGTAAGTTCTTAGACAAAAAAAAAACTAAGATTACTATTATTCTAACAACCAATGCAAATAGATTGGATAAGCTAAAACTATTTGTTTTTGGAAATACAACAAGACCATGCACTTTCAATTAAAAAATAAGTAAACAATTTAGATTTTATTAAAGCCATATTATTGAAGTATGGATGAAAAGACTACTCTTCTGAAAATGCCTTCAAACATGGAACAAGCGGATGCAAATTGTAAATCAAAAGATCTTATTGTTACTAGATAACTTTCTATCATACAAGTTAAAAGATCTTTCTTTAACAGATGTTAAAGTCTACTTTCTTTCTCTAAATACTAGCTCCAAGATTCAACCAATGGATGTAATAATTATTATTGCATTTAAGAGAAAATATTAATATTCCTAAATCTAAGATGTTATTGACAATAATAAACAAGGAACTGTAAAAATTTACAAAATAAATAATTAATAATAATTTAATATTATTTTCTATATAAATTGGCATCAAAATATATTTGTCCAATGTTTTTTTTTTTTTTTTTTTTTTTTTTTGAAATCATTTTTTTCTACATAAATTGGCCACATAATATATTTGACCAATTTTCATCTTTTTTTTTTTCTTCTTTTTAAAATTCTAAATGATTTATTTATTTAATTAATTTTAATTCTTTAAACATTTTCAATGTTGTATAATCTAGGGTTTGATCTTAATACTATCATGTTCCTATTTCTAAGAAAATCTATGGTATGTCGTATTAAATATCAAGATTTTATTTTCATAATAAAATAATTTAATCTAAATAAGTAATAAAGTGTTTGTAACAGAAAAATGATCTTTTTGTAATTATTGTATGTAAAAAAGTTAAACAAGCATTAAAATTAATGATTTAAATTATCTTATTAAAATCGAAAATCCCAAGAAAAGGAATTGAAAAAAATAAAATGGAAAAAGAAGGTGTATTCGCTCAAACGTGCAGGTTTATCAAACTGATAAATTGCATTTACATCGTACATGCAAGAGTATAATTTATTTACTTCTTTGTATATTTGATTACCTGCTCGTCATAACCTGACATCATCCTATACAAAAAGAGCAAGTTAAATAAGCACCCAAAAAAATAAACTAGAGAAATGACAATAAATCCCAAGCGCCAAAGAAAGGCCTCATCCAGGGTGTGAATGGGTGACCGGGGCCGGGTGACCTGTCCCGGCCCAGTATAGCAAAGAGAACATGGCGTGTCAAGCTTCTGCAGTGTCAGTCATCAACCGGTCACCCCGGTGACCGGTTTTTCGGTCCCGCGCATGCGAATTCGAAACCTATAGAGCCGTTGCTGGCCTCGCCTTGTCTTCCAAGTGCTGCTGCACGCCATCGCCACGGCCATTTCTCCTCCATTCTGCTCCCGTGCGTTTAGTATTAAAACCTTGTCCTACGGTATCGAGGTTGTCCGAGGGGCTTGCATTGTGTAGTATTTGCAGGTAGTTGAGACCTTGAGAACTTGTTCGACGTCGTAGTCTTGAGAGTTTTCTCTGTGTGTGTTTTTCGAGCCATAGTGCGTGAGGGAGCGAGCTGTGAGGGGAGGGAGACAATGTCGGGGATGGACAAGTACGAGAAGCTGGAGAAAGTTGGTGAGGGCACTTATGGAAAGGTGTACAAGGCTCGGGATAAGCTCACAGGGCAGCTGGTGGCGCTGAAAAAGACTAGGTTGGAGATGGAAGAAGAGGGCGTTCCTTCTACGGCTCTTCGTGAAGTCTCCTTACTGCAAATGCTCTCGCATAGCATATACATTGTTAGGTGCATCGCTTTGGCTGGATTTCTTCCTCCTGGATTGGATTCCTTGAGCGGTCTGGACGCTCTTCGTTGTTCTGGTTGGATTGTTGGTGATAGTATTCCAATTCCGAGTGATGAATGTTGTCATTGTGGCATAGTCGCTCGTTTCGATGCGGATGGGCTTTTAGTCCCGGCCCAATTGAGCAATGCCCTAAGGAGATGTGTGTTTTATTGTATAAGATACCTTGTATTGATGTTTCTGGTTGTGCAGGCTTCTTTGTGTGGAGCACGTCGAGAAGGGTGGCAAGCCCATGCTCTACTTGGTCTTTGAGTACATGGATACAGATCTGAAGAAGTACATTGACTTGCACGGTCGTGGTCCGAGCGGGAAACCTTTACCGCCCAAAGTTGTGCAGGTACATCCATTGTAGCATTGTCTCACATTATTCGAAACACGTCTCACATTTACCAGGAGGTTCAGAAGTAGACTACCGAGATGATCTAACTCTGTGTTTGGGTCTTCGTCTGTTACAGAGCTTTATGTACCAGTTGTGCACAGGGCTTGCGCACTGCCATGGCCACGGAGTTATGCACAGGTTACTGAGCTTCACTGATCCATCTTTCTGGTATTCCTCGTGGGTGTAGTCGGAATTCGTCGAAGCAGTCTATAGCGTTAACTTCTGAGCTTATTTAGTTAAGTAGAGTCGCTTTGACGTGGTACTGCATTCGTCTTCAGGGATCTTAAGCCCCAGAACTTATTGGTGGACAAGCAAACTCGGCGTCTCAAGATTGCCGACCTTGGTCTTGGTCGAGCTTTCACGGTGCCAATGAAGAGTTATACTCACGAGGTACGTACAGCTTGTCATGGTTGCGCAGAATTATTCTAACAGAAATTTCTCCTCTCTATTCTTGCTCACATCTGGTGATTCGGTGCCTGGCAGATCGTCACACTGTGGTACCGAGCTCCCGAAGTTCTTCTCGGAGCAACCCACTACTCCCTTCCTGTTGATATTTGGTCTGTTGGATGTATTTTCGGTAAGCAAACGCACGTATCTTAGTATATGATAGGGAATATCGTTTGTCCATGATTCATTTCTGATCTAAGTCGTTATCCTTTAGATTGCTTCTTATTCCGACTACTGTTTGTCCAGCTGAGCTCGTTCGCAAAATGCCGCTCTTCACCGGGGATTCAGAACTTCAACAGCTCCTCCACATCTTCAGGTTGGTTTTTGTCAGCTGCCCTCTGTAAGTGTTGTTAGCCAGGAATTGCCTTGCAGTTTCGCTGACAGCGCAATTTCTGCATGTACAGGCTACTTGGCACACCGAATGAAACGATTTGGCCCGGGGTTAGCCAGCATCGTGATTGGCACGAGTTCCCGCAGTGGAGGCCCCAAGAGTTATCTCTGGCGGTTCCTGGTCTATGCGCAGTAGGCTTGGACCTTCTCGCTGTAAGTTTTTTGTATGGTACCCCCAAGTCTCGGTCTTTCAGTGAGGTTGTGTCATTTCTTCATTGTGTTCTCACTTCAATGGTAAGGATTTCTAACGCAGACTTTGAACTTTCTGCAGAAGATGTTGGTGTTTGAACCTTCTAAAAGGATCTCTGCCAAGGCTGCATTGAGCCATCCCTACTTCGCAGATTTCGACAAAACCTCTGCTTAACCTCCAAGCATTGAGGTTATCTACATCTATGTTCAGAACCTACCATCCATAACGAAGGACACAGTTCACTAGGAGAACCAAGCCAATCATGCTGATTGGGCATCCCACCGCGCTTAGAGGCATTTATGTGCACTGTATACTAATAAGTAGCCAGAAGGACGTGCGGATTGACATTAATATCCAGCACTAAATTTCCTCATCAAATTTTCATGAGAGTCGATTTCACTCGGGAGTGAATTGAATAGAAGACTTGCTCGACTCGATAGGTCGAAGGATAAATGATCATTTGTGTCCTCATCCATTACACATGGACATTATCCAGCCTTGTTTCTCAGTTCTAACGCTGAGGCTGATATGACGATATTGTATAGAGGCAACAACAGGTTGCGAATCAATGTAGCTTAAACAATTTCAATGTGCCAAAATATTTTCCCATTTCCCTCTCACTATTCTTAAACCACTCCAACACGTCATTAACTAAGCCGATCATTAATATACAAATGTTCATTGGAATCTTCACATCTGCAGCTTACACTCCTTCAAATTCCTACTTTCTCTTCAGATGATTAACAGACTCCACTTAATTAATTGGCAAGTTGCCAACCGAACCGACAACGCGTTCTTGTCGCATCTTAATGCACGCCGGCTGGTAGAAGAGTCCAGCTGGAAATTTTAAGCAGACGATGCTACAGTCGGCATATTTCTCGTTATTTGTCTTCCTCCTAATAGTGAGATGATCAAGTCGTTCATAATTAACTGCGGAGAGCTGCTTATCGTCAGCATCATGTTCGGGGGATTGGAAACTGGTAGTTGTACAACCGGAAATAAGAAATACAGTCGTCTGATGTGCTGTAAATGAATGTACATTTCCTTCATGTTAACCTTCTGAACATGTACGTTTGCCCCATTGTCGAGGATAATTATCACTCTTGTGCATCTGAACTTCTAACGAGCAATCTGTCCTCATATCTGACGACCAATCTAGTTTCTGCTGTAGAAACCTTGATCTTTCTACTCAACATGACTCAGTTCAGATAAGTACTAGCTTCACATGGTAGATCTGCACTTTACAATTTTAGGATGGTTTGATTTTTTAGACAACACCAAGTGTACACTGAATGATGTACCAAGCTCCCTTTCTTGTTTCAATGAATTGAGTGGCCGTTCTTCTTTAGGTACGAAGTGGGGTTGATATGTTTCTGGTATCTGTCAATAAACTGATCCCCCCTCTTTCAGAACTATTTTCTGAACAATTAAGGAAAATAACTTTTGCGGATTCATCTGTATTTAAAGAGAGTAGATTGTGATTACTGATGTAACAGGTGTTTGTCTTATGAGTCTTTCAGTTCTAATTGTTGTTCCTGTCTTTTGCAAATTCTTATGATCAGTGACCTTGGTCTCCAGCTTCAAATTCATATGTAATAATCTAGGTCTAGGTGTCACCAGTAAAAAAGCTATGTTGAACTTCTAGCTGACCTGATAATGCTTCAGAATACCAACAACTCAACGCAGCCGAGAGCCACAAATTGTAAATGGCGAACGTAGTTAATAAAACGTGAAGGCAATCGTTCATACTTAAGCGAATAGATGGTAGAAACGGCATTTGGTAAAGCAAACCAAACTCTTTTAGATAATTTCAGAAACACTTGCTTATATTAACATTATTCTAACTTCTTCTCCGAGATCTCATTCTACACTCAAAGCATGCATTACTTAACTGTTCTAAGTTTAAACCCATACTAGCTTGAGACCTGGTGATGCCGTTGACCTTCAACTGCTCACGAAGTAGTGCGTTCTCATGCTCAAGGTCCTCGATTCTTTCCTGATGCCGCAGCAGCTGCAAATCAAGTTCACAAAAGAATATTTCCAAAAATTTAGACAAATTAAACTAAGCAGACAAGCAAATAGTACAGAATAACATACGATGCAAGGGAAGTATCCTTACTGTGCGAAGAATCTCATTCTGGGAACGCAACGCCTCCACCTGTAACATACAAGAGCCCCACAAGGTACACGAGTGAATCTTCTGATATGTCACTGTGTTATCAAGGATGTTCTTACAACTAACCAACATAGAGAATATATCGTGACACGGAGGCTGACTTGATTTACCTCCGTTTCAGAATTCTTGATGGACGGAGCACTGAGAGTACTTGAAAGTTGGCTTAAAGGCGAAGGCATAAGATGGGACTGAGAAGATTTCAACAAGGATCCACCATCTGGAACCCCAGGTGGCTCGATGTGTACTTCTCTATGGTCATGAGGCCGCAGTTTATTTAACACAGTTGCGCATCCTTCCTGTTTCACCATCCACAACAGCCTGGTGCTTATTACTATGGCATCCAAACGCTGAAATGCATGCAGAAGTCTTCAGGACTACCAACATCCTCACAATTTTGATTTGAAATACTTCAGGGAGAACGCAACCTGATAAGATATTTAGATGCTCGAATCACTAAAAGAATATACCACAAGGTCTCTCACTTCGTTTGTGAATGCATATTACTAAATATCACGTTCTTTGAAATGAGTTCAATACTATTACACCTTTGAAGCGGGAAGACCTGCTCTTCAGATACTAGGTGTTCCTTATCATATGAAATTATGTTCACCTGAAGAAAAAGCAGAATTTGTTGTGATACTCCAGGTTTGAGCGCCAATCCTGTCAGTCATGAATCACTCGTGCAGAATGAAATTACTGAGCTCGACTGCGATGAAAGTCGAGGACTAACGGACTCAATAAAAAGAACTCTTATGTATCGGTCTGATTACATCGGGTCGCTAATAATGTACTAATCAATCAACTAATACTCATTCAAACGTATGCATATGAGGAAGAGACTAACACGTAGAAAACGAACCAATGCCAAAGCCATGCCCTAAGCCCACTCCACATCCAATCCCTGCCTCCAGGTTCTTGATGCCCACTCGCTTAATCTGACACACTCGCATGCCGCAACGTGAAGACTTGTGCAACAAAGGCGTGATCCGTTTGGGAATCGCTGCGGGCTCCTAGCGGATCTCTGCAACATAGGGATCCACAGCGATGCCCCTTCTAGCAACAACCACTACCCACTATTTTGAGCCTCTAAAGTGTTTCAAGCGTACCACATGTTCATGTTCTGCTGTTGATGTAAAAAGACCGTCCCGTTAATGTGCATTGATAGTACTTGACATATGACTAATCCTACATTCATTACGATCAAGTCCACCAAGAGAGGAGGTTCCCACATTTCCAAGACCGCTGAATTTTCTCCGTCTACATAATGAAAATTAAAAATAGGAGCGGATGCAGGAATAGGAGTACCAAGCCTTGCAGTTGCCGTCCCCCTCCAACGTGTCGTATCATACCGTTTGCTGAGCCCATCACTTGAGCAACTCCAGGTATATCTGCAAATCTCTTCCTGAAGGATTACATAACGAATTGCACCCAGAGAGAAACCTCTCCTTTCCGCGTCAGACCATCGAGACAATAAGTAAAAAAACGGTTCCTCTCCGCATTTTTCCTGATCCTTTCTTTCTCTCACATAATCTGGAATTGGGTTTAATTACTAATCTGGTGCCTTTCTTTGCTTCACCTACAAACTACCAGCTCTTACTCTATAAGAGCTTCCCGTCCTTAAAAAAAAACAATGCCAACATATCTAAAGAAGACTGGCAAGTTCTGGAGAAGGCACAATTAATTCAGGCAAAGCAGAATTAAGACACACCCACAAAAGACAGACCCGGGATGAGAAGAATGAGGGGGGGGGGAGAACATCCACACATACCTATAGGAATTGGAATACCGACGCCCACGCCCAAGCCACACCCAAGGCCGAAGCCTGTCATCACCTGACCCACCCTCAAAACAAAAGGGTTCTGCAGCTTGACGGTGGACACAGACCCCGGATGCCTCACAGCATCCATAGCTGACGCACAAATCGCCTTTCCCCTTGCTGCTGCAGCTCCTTGTGCAAAGCAATCATTCAATCAATCAATCTTACTACGGCATTCTTCACCCACACCCTAAGAATTTGAGCTTGCTACATAACATTCCACCATGGCTCTCGGTCTTTCCACACACAAGAGCAGCAATGCAATGCAGGTGGGATTGCGACGCAGAGAATTGGTGGCAAGCGAGGGATGATGTCGATGGACTTCTGGTACTATCAAACTTTTGGTAAATTTGATGTTTGGTAACACAGTAGATGATTGCATTTTGCATCACACGTAAACTTGTTTCGACCTTCTAGAGAATTAGGGTTTAAGCATCCGGAATTGGTGATGTGGAGGGTCAAACCCTAATTTTAACTCTGATTATTTTGATGCTAACAATGTGTGTTCATATCGTTTTATTCTAACCTGTTTGTTTGTTTTTTTTGTTTGTTTCATTTTATTTTATTTTATTTTAATTTGTTTGGTTGTTTTTCTTCTTGTTACTGACTGTTTGAATGGAGTAGTAGCATGTGGACACAAGTACTCAGGTATTGATTTCTTGATTGTTTTTCTTCTCTTTCTAATTTTTTGACAACCAATGTAGTAATTGATTTTTTTTTGTTTTGTTTGTTGTGACTATAATCAATTGCAGTAGATTTTTTTGATCAGGAAGGAATATTTATGCTAAAGTGAATTTAAACATAGACTATCTTGGTTTATTGATTGGTTTAAATTGTGACTTTTCCATTGAATTTATACATATCTAATATTTATCATTTTTATTATATAAAAATATTGTGTGGAGAAGAATAACATGATTTTCAGAGATGACAAATAAATATAAAATAATTGTTTTATCTGAAGTCTAAGAAGTATTGTAAAAAGTTGGATAATTTTTTTAAAATATTCCAACTTTTAAGCTTTTAAAATATCCTCCAAAAACTTGGAATATGATAACTTATAAAACCACAAATTATTTAATCTATAAATTAAATATTAATAAACAAAGGCACATAATTATTTTTACTTTTGAATAATTAGGATCTATAACACCTATAAGCAAATAGTTGTAATCTATTATCTATTATATAAAACAACTTGTGATAAAATATGAAGAAATATATTGCTAAAATAGAAGTACAAATATGTAAAGAAAAGGGAACTAAAAACTACTTGCAAAATGAGCTTTGGATTTGAGTTCTTATACTACTTGTCTAATGTCTAACCTCATGGACTTTCTAATATGAACACATAAACAACAAGCATAATCAACGATGTCCAATTAACATGTGGACACTTGTCTTATTAGGCTACATGACGGTTTGGTAGGCTACGGTAGCTAAATAGTATTATCACCAACAAATAGCAACTATAACTTATCAACCATCAAAGTGATGTCAACTATCCATTCTATATTAAGTCTAATAGGAGTTACACACTCTATTAACACTTCTACTTAATGACATATTAAACTAACTCAATTTGATGATGTCCATCATCTCTTTGAATTTACAATATTTCTCATGAGTTAGACCTTTGGTCAAAACATCTGCAACCATATCTTGTGTCCTCTGAAAAACTAAGTTGATGTTGCCACTCTTTATGTTCTCTTAAATAAAGTAATGTTGAATTTCAACATACTTAGCACGAGCATAGAATGTGGGATTTCTTGAAAGAAAAATGCAAATTTGGTTATCATTGAAAATAATCAAAGGACCCTCTTGTAAAAATCCAATATCTTTAAAAAAAATCTTTAAAGCCAAATTGCTTCTTTTGTAGCATAAGTAACTATTATATATTCTACTTTGGTTGTAGATAATATGACCATTAGTTGCTTCTTGCTATTCCAACTAATTGCACTCCTAGCTAACAAAAAAATATAACTAGTGGTCAAATGTTGTGTATCAATATTTCTTGCATAGTTTGCATTATAATAACCAACCACTTGTAAACTTGAAGAGCTTCCACCATATTGTAGCACATGATCTGATGTGCCTCGTAGATATTACAAAATGCATTTCACTACTATCCAATGTTGTAGGCCATGATTTGCTATGTATTAGCTAACAACTCCTACTTGATAGGAAATATTGGTCCAAGTGCCTATCATTACATAGACTAAATTGCCAACTGCATTTAGGTATGAAATCTCTTTCATTCCTTCAATCTCTTCAAAAATCTTTGGATTCATGTTTCTTAACAATTTGCTATTAGAAGCCAAAGGTGTAGCCAAAGGTTTACAATCTTTCATGCCAAATCTTTTAAAGACATTTTCCACATGTTTTTGCTAACTAAAGTAGATTTTTAAAATCTTTAGATTCTTCATAATTTGCATGTCCAAAATATAGTGGATTTCTTCCAAATCCTTCATTTTAAACCTCTCATCTAAGTTTTTCTTTGTTTGCAAGATAAGTTTCTTGTTATTAGAGATAAGCATCAAGTCATCTACATAGAATGTAATGATGATGAAGAATCCACCAGTTGTCTACAATACATAAATGTTAGGATTGGCATGGCTTCTTTTCAAACTTTGTTAAGCAAAATAATTATCTATCTTCCTATACCATGCACTAAGAGATTGTTTGAGCCTATAGAGAATTTTAGAAAGTTTATATATTAATTATTCTTCATCTTCTCATACATAGCCTTTTGGTCAATCCATATATATATATATATCTCCTTGTCAAGATCTTCATTTAAGAATGTTGTCTTGACATTTATTTGATAAACTTCTAAATCTTCAATTGCAACTAGTGTAAGAAGTATATAAATTGAGGTCATTTTTGCCATTGGAGCAAAAGTCTCATTGTAATCAATACTTTCATTTTGTGAATAATCTTTTATAATAAATTTTGCTTTATAGTGTTCCATTAATCCATGTGCATTGTATTTGATCTTGAAAATTTATTTGCAACTAATTGATTTTTTGTTTATTGATAATGGTATCAAAATCTACGTTTTGTTGTTAATGAAACTTTGGTACTCTGAATCCATTGCTTCTTTCTACTTCCAAATATCATCTCTTCTTGTAGCTTCATTGATAGTAAATAGTTTTTGAGTGCTTGTGTAAAAAGCATGTGCCATATATGCTGAAGATATCAATGATTTGAAAGGAATCAAAGCCAATGCTAATTTATGAGTTGCTTATTGTTGTGCCAAAAGTTGGGATCTTGCACACTTTATCATCAATGAAGGTGGAAGTAGAGGTAGAATTGGAGGTAGGATTAAAGCCACACATTGTTGTCCAAGTACTTAAGCTTGTATTCAAATAGTTCAAACTGAAGATAAAGATTCAACAATTGGTTATTGGTGACCTTTACCAATATGCAAATCTTCCAGTGTATCTTCATTGTTGTTTTTCAAATTTGATGAAGTTTCTATAGGCTCAATTTTAATCCTTATTTCTTGAGGTTTATCAATAGAAACTTCTAAAGTCTCTTCAATTTTCTTAGAGTCTTTATATTAAATAAACTTATTATTATGATTCTTAATGATGGAGCCATTCTCAAAGTTGTATAAAAAATTGCACTTAGTACCTTCAACATAGCCTTGAAATGTACATTTCTTGTTCTTAGGATTAAGTTTTGTACATTTTTCATTTGGAATATGTATATAGGCATCACATCCCAAGATACAAAGGTGTTGTATTAAAGATTTTGTACCTAATCAAACTTCTTTGAGTATTTTTTCTTCTACAACCATAGTAGGAGATTAATTAAAGACATATGTTGCAAAGTTGATGGCTTCTATCCACCATGCATTTAAAAGTTGTTTATGTTGTAATATGCACCTTGCACTTTCAAATAATATTCAACTCTTGCATTTTGAAACTCCATTTTTTTGAAGCATATAAGGCATTAAAAATTATCTTTCAATGCCATATTGCTCATAAAACTATTTGAAGGCCTTAGATATATACTCTCCACCATTGTCACTATAAAAATTTAGAATCTTTAATAAAATATGAGGAAGTATATAGCTAGAATAGAAGCACAAATGTGTGAAGAGAAGAGAACTAAGAATCGCTTGCAAAATGAGCTTTGGATTTGATTTTCTTATACTACTAGTCAAATGTTTAACTACATAGAATTTTTGTATGAATATACAAATAACTAGCCTAGTCAACAATGTTTAATTAATATGTAGACACTTGTCTTGTTAGGCCGCATAATGGCTTGGTAGGCTATAGTGGCTAAGTGATATTACTACCAACAAATGATGGCTACAACTTATTAATCACCAAAGTAGTATCAACCATCCATTCTACATTATGTCTAATAGAAGTTACACACTCTATTAACACAACTTGGATTTAAGATAAAGAAATAAAGAAGTATTTCTATTGGCTATGAAGAAGAGAATTTGAAAAACTAGGAGAATGCAAAAATGTAGGAGTATTGAAATATGAAGCTTTTTGAAGCTTCATAGTTTAGAAGAGATTTCTTCCAAAAGTTTTAATAGCTTTTTCAGGTACAACAACATACATTTCTCCATATAAGAATAAAAAATTTATATAGTTATAAAAAATAAATTAGAATTGTTAATATACATTACTATCAAAGTTACTAAATTACATTCTTTGACTTAAGTATGTTCTTTATTTTAAGACTAAAGTCATATTCTAATTCTATTGATAAAATATTCGACAAATTAACAATAATTGATAATACTTTTACAATGCTATTTTTTGAAGAATAAATTAATGATATTAAAAATTAAAATATTAAAAAAAATTAATATTATTACATCAATCTTTAAAAACAATCAATAATCAATAGATATGTTGAGTACTATGCTTCAATATTCCTACCATTTTAGTATTACTTGGAAAAAATCAATTTTAAATTCTAATTTTTGTAAGAATATTCAAACAAAATAATAATAAGAAGATATATATACATATATAATTCATTTTAGTTATAAAAAATTGTATTAAAAAAATAAAATACTATTTATAAAAGTTAGTAATAACTTCAATAATATATCTTCAAAATACTTATGAATTTGTAAACTATATATTTATAAAGAATAGAAAAAAAATTCCATCCAAATTATATTGAATATTTGTTTCTTTTACTTATGTGAATAAATAATATTTAATCTTGTAAAAAAATACTATTTTTTTAATGATTTTAATGATATTATTTTTAATAAATATAGATAAAAATAGTTTAAATATATATATGAATACAAAACTAATAATATTTTAATTTAGAAATTTAATGATGATAGAACTTATTTTTAAATTATTAAAATATTTTAAAATATTATAATTCACTATTTTAAAATT